TAGACATTTTGTCTTTTAAATAATTAGTGTGAATGGCGGCCTCTACTGATGTTAAAGCATTTTTCACATTTTAAGCAAATATACAATGCATATTCGTGCACAGTTTACCTAGAATTTATGCTCTGAAATGAAACTAAAGGCACGTGATCAAAGTTTTAAGATCCAATCCAGCCAATGACCTAGTTGAAGCACCAAATCATTGGTTCAACCGACGGATTTAGTCAGGTCGAAGCCTAGCTAAAAATTATTTTTTAAATTGAAATAGGAGTAACAAATATACATCAAATGTAAAAGTTAAGATGTCTTATAAGATTAAAATGCCAAGTAATTCTTAATTATTTTAATTCAAGTAAAAGATTATTATGAGTTTTTCCTCTCTCACACTTATCTATTTTTATTGTTGTGTCTATATTAGTATATTATTATCCAATCTTTCATTACTTTTATCATTTGTTTTGATTCTCTTCATCTTCATTTTTATGATTTTGCAATTACAATATTAACATTATATTTAGGACTGGGCAAAAAATAAAGCCAAACCGATCAACGTAATCCAACCTGACCAGTTTAGGTTGGTTTTCAAGTTCAATTGGGTTGGGTTGGGTTAGGTCTAGGGTTATGGTTTAAAACTCGACCCGACCTGATGAATTAAAAAAGTTTAATACCTAGAATGAAAAAATATAAATAGACACAGTAGTCGAGACAAGAGAAGAATTTAGAATGTACAAATGTCTCCTTTTTTATATAGGTTAATTTGTATGAATACTATGTACAAATGCAAAATAATTTGACGATAAACTAAAAATTAAGGACGTGAGAATGAATGAATAAATTTCAAAAAAATTATAAAAAGAAAATTATCCATAGTTTAAAATTTATTTATAAATTAATTTTCAAAGAGAATTTCTTATATATATTAAAAATAACGGAGATTTTCAAGTGGTTTCAAACTTTAAAAGTTGCTCAAATTCAACAAAAAATAATCGGATCCAATTTGAAATAGGCCCAAGCCCAAACCCAAGCCGACCCAAGTTTGATTTTAGATCAAACCGATCATGTTAGATTGGGTTTGGGTTTGATAAAATACCAACCCAACCCAATCCAATCCACCCCACGCCCAGCCCTAATTATATTGATTTATTAAAACATTAATAAAATCTTTCAATTATGCAACCAAAAAAATGTTATTTAGAAAGGGAATTGTATTATATATATTTGAAGTAAGAATGTTGCATGATGATTGGTGGTGGGACAGTGGAAGGCATTGTGATTTCCAAGCCAGGGGGAGGTCTGCATTTCGAAACTCCTCTCAAACACAAGAAGTTCTGGTGCATCACATTTGAACCTCCGGGGTGAAGGCAAACTAGGTCGATGGTTCACCATATAACTCGTCGGGTTTCGACAGTTTATGACCAGTTCCCTTGCAAACTGGTCCAATTAGGTTACCCAACGGGTCGCAGGTTTCTTGGCCAACCCGGCCGGTCCAGGATTCAAAATATGCACGTGACGCGTTCATTTCCATTTTGGGTAAATTAGTTGAAACACTTTTGAGGCGCAGTTGAAGGTTCTGAAACTATACCTGAGAGCCCATAAACGAAGATATGAAGCTGTATTTGAGACTGCACCAAGTACAAATTCTATTGTATGTATGAGCTGGTGTACAAAAATTTCACTGAATTCAAACTCCTCATGGCCATGAGAATCATGATTTGGCTCCGACTGCAAAGACTCTTCTGAGTCTGGAAGTGGTGCATAGGACTCTCCGTGGTGCCTCTGCAGAAAGACAATGGCAGAGAATAAGATAGTTTTGTACTAGAAGATTAATCCAGTATTATGTAGAAAATAAGAGAGAGAGAAATAGAATACATCGTGTTGTAACTTCAAGAGGAAAGGCTTTGGTAGCAGCATCCAAGGAACAGAGATGAGGGCCGACAATAATAACACAAGCTGGAGAAGTTTGATGTGAGTTTCAATCAAATAAAAATAAATATAGTAGGACTCAGAATGGAAATCAGGAGAAGAAATATTTTGCCTATAATAATTAATCAACCTGAGTTATCTTCTGCCCGGGAAAAAGCTGGTTTTCACCAAGTTCATCAGTAGGACTCAGAAACATGTATATCATTACATGATACAAATCAGCTTTGGATCCAGTGCACCATTTTATGATTATAAGGACAGAAAGGTAGCCAAAAAGACCGTTTAAAAATATCATCTGAGGGATAAATTGGAACCTGGAATTTCACAGATGGTTCGTAAGTTGAAGAGAAATAAACTCACAGCAAAAGCATCTCGTATAGTAAAGAGGTATTTGAAAATGAAAATACATGGGGTTTGGACACCTAATTCAAGTCAATAAAAGAATTATTTTCAATTAACAAACTAAAACTTACCATATATTTATATTATTCGCAAAGAATATGGCATTAAAATAGCTCAGTATTATTCCAAGGTTCATTTGGGCCACCCCAAGAAGAATTGACATTTTCATTTTCAATGAATTCAGGAATGGCAGCTCACTGCGTGAACTGTGCCATACGGGGTCCGCACCAAATGGGTAAGTGTCACGCACCTTGATCAATCCCACCGTAGTAGCCTCACTACATTCAGACAAGTTCAATAAAGGAAGAGAGTATGCAATAACAATAAAAGACTAGCTAACTAATGTTAACGATACCTGCAAGACAGATCACGGCACGAATATGCAGATCGGCTGAATAATTCAAATGGCACTGAGAAAAATTCATTGTATATTAACCCCGTATAAATTGAGAACAGTGCCATCAACAGAATAACATAACGTCCGCCAAAAGTCATTTCCATGATGTCTCCCAATTTCTGCATTCACGAGTACAGTCATGTCTCAAACTGCTGAGCTAAAAACTTGAGGAACAAGCATACACTTTTTACTGGAAACTCCATCAAGAATCTCATATAGTAACTTAGAAGTAAGATAAATATTCCAAGGGTCACTGATATATATTTTTTCCTTGAAAGTTATAAGCAATATATGTTTAAATATGAACCAGACAAGTTTTCCCATGATTTATAAGGAATAGGTCCATGTCCTAACAGTATCCATATACTATGACATAATTTCAATTAGAAAACTTGTATGTAGTGGCCAAACTAGTGGGGGAAGAGAGTATGAGAGTAAAGCAAATGTGGTAAGACCATAAGATAAGCTTTTAGTGTTTAAAGTTGTTTAGCTAATTAAAAATACATTCTCTCTCTATTGTCCTAAAATAGAGTTTAAAGTTGTTTTGATAATTAGTATGCCTTTCTTGCATCAGGAACAATATTCATCGAATGCAGCTCAACTTAAAATAAAGACTGCTTCGAAATAGCACATGTGGACATATGTTACTTCACACTTTCAAGAGCAACTCCATTTATACCAGTTCATCTGATCCTCTAATCTACAAGAGAAAATCAGTGGATAATTTAATGGTGCCAAAAAACAATACTCCAATTGCAAAGCATAGTCAAAATATGAAATGCAACATCTGTCTTCTAAAACAAACAAGTGTACAAAATAAGGATAAAACAAGTACAAACTGAAGCTATAAGTAAGGCTCTTTTAATTGTTATAATCAGAAATGGGATATGACACAGGTAAACGAACCATATAAACAACAAATTATATAGATATAGAAGTACAGATATATGTAGTTACATCAATTTATAAACAGGTATAAACAATTACATCAGGTTTGGCTAAAACACAGAAGAAATACCTGACTTGACAGCTTTTTTTCTCTGATGATAAGATATAATGTTGCAAGTAACAGGCATATTCCATGCCCCCAGTCTCCAAACATCACAGCAAAAAGAAACGGAAAGGTCACAATGGTGAATACACCAGGGTTTGCTTCCTGATACTTGGCCACTCTGCAATAAGGTAAACCAAACTAAATGAATTTTCAAAGTTACATTTAGAAGCACCTTCTGGGCACAACAATAACAAATTTAGAAAGCTTGTGATAGAAAGAATATAGCATCATCTGCAATTACACTTCACTTTCGTAGGAAAACCACCACCACCACCCTGGCCCACCCCAAGGAAAACAAACTGAAATAATCCCATAAAATGGCCTTTCAAGAATTACAGGTCAGGAATATCCAATTTCTCACATATAGAAAGATAAAATAGCTAATATAGCAAGTTTGAGTATATCTTTTGTCCACAGTACAATGCCACACGATTCAAAAAAATTTTGTAATTCCAATTGTTCCATATAGTTCTTTATTCTCTCCATCTCTTAACAACCCACCCTTCTGTAGACCAGCTTTGTCCCGTTCTGTTGATGTCTGGGAAGTGACAGAAACGATGAGAAGAACCTATCATCTAATATTAAGTTCCAAAAGCCATACAAAAAGTACTACGACCATTCCCGTGATTCCCAATCTTTTAGAATGTCATTGACTCTAAATGCTCAGGATGTTGTACCAGAGAACAGTCAGTCAATTCATTACATACATCATCAATTGGTCGCAACCACCTAAACATAGACAAAAACACGTGGTGTATCCAACTCTTTTCATTTCAATTAAAATTGACACAAGTTACAAAATAGTTTTCTATCTAACGAGTCTGTCTGCAATAGTGAATCTTGGGACTTCCCATGCACTTAAATGTTACCACCAAGGTCGTTCAACACTTACCCATCTTAGATAGTATGATTAGAGTAAAACTCACCCATAAGCATCAACAATCTCTTGAAAGGCAGAAGTAAATTTGTTTGTTCGGAAATATGTAGGCGGCATCTCTCGTGTTCGCAAAACTTGGAAAATAGCATCAACCTGTGAATTAGAGTCCTGTGTTGCACGATGTAATGCGTCTTGGATCTGCAAAATAAAAATCGTCATCAGAAGTGATCAACTCTATCTATTTATATAACGGGTGAAACTAGGCAAAAATAATGCCAAAATCCCCACAACATATCTCAGCTCCCTCATATTCTCCACTTCAATTTATAGCAAACATGATTACATAATACTTACCTGTTTTGTAGCAAAAATAGGACTCCACCCTTCAGCCACCAGACATTTCTTTGTCACGTCAATGCTAAGCATATTTAGTGTGTGGTAAATGGATTTCTCCCTCCTTACCTATGTCAGCACACCAAGATATAGTTTATTGAATTTGCAGAAAAGCATAGTTTCACAATACAATGTTGAGAACAAGGTTATTTGATGATTAACAGACCAAAAAGTTCCACTGCTCAAATTGTTCTCCAATAGTTTGTAATAAGGTACCACGGTGCACTAGTCCAGCATCGATGGTAGTCTTCAATTCCGAAAGTCTCCCTGAGACCTGAAGAGGAAAGATTATAATTTGTCACTTCATTAGCACAAGATTACGTTTTTGACAGTTTTTAAACCCCTCTTTTGAAGTGTGCCTATGGAACCAAGATATAGTCGTATATTCCAACTGAAAAATCTGAGTAGATTAAACAGAACTTAACTACTGCAGCAGTTAGCCATAACCTCAAATTATTTAAATTCCTCTAGTTCTTGACCAAGTCTTGAATTAAACCCTAAATATCACTATTCTCTTTGATTCTTTGGCCACATCCTGAAATCATTATACTACATTCAGATGATCTCTTAGTTATGATTTCTTTGGCCACATCCTGAAATAATTATCCACTACTCTTTTGCATCCTTGGGTCATGCATAGTCATACAGTTTTCAAAGAATATATGATTTGACTTCCTAGAACCACATGGAAGAAAATAACACTTGTATTGAGGACTGCTCAAATCAATAAACTAAGGATACTAACAGGCAAAGTGAGCAAGATATTTGCGTCTTTGGATCATGCAGAGTAAACTTAAATTTTTCCTTGAAAAACGGATTTAACCACATGGGAGCAGATAATTTAGCCCCTGTTTGACAGCCATTTTTTTGGGAATAATGAGTATTTGAATAGTAAATTTTTAAGGCTATGTGATTAAAAAATAGGAGAGTTTTGGGTTTACGTGAAGAACATTTTATTGTGAGAATGTGTGGTTGAAAATGAGTATGAGAAAAAAGTGCTTTAAGAGAATGGTTGTCAAACAGGGGCTTAGAAATACTGAAGCCTGTCTGCATTGATATAACACGGACACTAACAGGTTAGTTGATGAAGAAATATTATGAAGGCACCAAAATGCACGGAGAACACGAGCTCTGGAGAGAGAGGGAAGGGAAACTGACAGATCTGATCAATTATATTACATACCTCATTAATCGTTTGAGCTTGCTTGCCTAGGTCTTCTGCAAAAGGGTAACGATTTGCTCCAAAAGCATCACATATTTTTAGAATTTTGTTCTTTGCCCTTTCTCCAGAAAAGAAGACCACAAATACATTTTTCTCAACCTGAAAATAACAATCACGTCAATTATCCTCTTTTGGTTCCAATAACAAAGTCAAGATGACACATAGTATAAAGAGAGATGTATATAGGTTGTTAAGTATTTAGGATAGAAATCACAATAAATAGCAAAAACAACTCATGTTATTTTGTTTGTCTAGCATAATTCATTTCAGAGGGAGTTATCCATAATGGCTCAGGTGAACTTCAGAAATGATATTCTTTTTTGACATGCAAATTTGATACATTACACCGACTTTTCAGATATTAATAACAACTAATTTCTACATTAACCCTATTTCCTATTTGATGTGATAAAAAGGGAAAATCCATTATGATCATCAAGAAATGTATTGTGATGTATATCACGCAACAGTACATCATGAGATAAATCAAGTTTGTGGGGAATCCAGAGAAAGTTTTCATCACTAAGACCTTGATTTATAAGTATTTTTCTTCCCAAAGGGAATGAGCATAGCTCTTCTAGATGCCTAGCACAATAAAATGGTTATAGAGAGAGAGTATAACAAGTGCAAGTTTGTCATAATACAAAAAGATTTGAGAATATTTATGTTTATATGTATATAGAGTAAATCCTGTTGTAAGGTAAATAATCTCATTACGTAAACAAACAAAAGTGTTCTGCTTAAACCTTCTCTCCTGAGACAGGATCTGTAACTGGGTTGTCAACTACAGCCTGCTTCAGTAACACGTTACCCCTGGTAGCTCGGAATAAAATCCTCTCAAAGGCAATTGATTTCTCCCTGGGAACAAGTCCTGTGACAAATCCCAACTTAACTTGCTTGGATGGATCAGTTGTCATTTCCTACAGATACAACAAAAAAATTTACTCTAAATGAGAAAAAATCACCTGATACTAAAAGATTAAGTTCAGAAAGCTTTACCTGCTCTGATAATAGTGGAGTCTCCAATGATTCTTCACCACTCTGATTTGATGCATATTCTCTTTGACGAGCTTCAGCGCTGCTCAGAGCAGATTGAAAAAATTCACCGGCCTAAGGGGAAAATATCATCTGCATTATCAAATCTAGATAGACAATATATCTAGGAAAATAGGACTAACTATGCATGGATCTGGTTTCTATTTTGAGTAAGGAAATCAAGGGTGGGAAAATATTCTACCTATTAAGAAGTACTACAGTAAGAAGAACCAAATGGTAGTAGTTTTACTCCTTATTCTAGAGTCGAACCTTGTAAGAAAAAATTAAAATTAAAATGATTGGAGCAGCAGTAACTTCAGTGAACACATAAAGAGAGAAAGGATATAAGTGATGTGATGATAGATAAAATCTTTTAAGTCCAATTCCACACCAGAAAGAAAGACTCAAAAATTCACCGAATTTGTTGATGACATCTGGAAGCACAATCAGAATTTTGTGTATCTATTATGTCATCACAGAAACCTAATAGATTATTAAAAACCGTATCACAGAAGATGATAATAATTTCAATTCTTTCCTTGCCTATAAGCCCACCGTCACTAAGTAAATACAATTAATCTATAAATTTTGTGAATATAAAGCACAAATTCTATCAAAAACTTTGATTTTTTTTTATCAATTTTGTTACAAAAAGGAAGAAGCTATGAGGAATGACAAATAAAGAAACCACACCTTCTGTATAACAAGCTTGTACTCTGCTAGTTCATTGTACGAGCGCTGTAACTTCTGGCCATTTGCATTAATTTCAACCAGCTCAGCTTCAAGTTCACCAAGCTTAACCTAAAATGCACGCAAATTCAGGACTAAACAACTACGAAGAAAACTGCAATTGGAGGGCCAAAGTTTCTAGACATACTTCCAGGTCATCCAGATTGAGATCAGCTTCTGTCACAGATATTACTGCAGGAGAAAATTCTGCCTTTGTGATTTGCTCCCGGAAAAATCTCAATTTGCGTGCCATCTCACCACATCTTTTAATCTTCAAAAGAGGAAAAACAATCAATTAATTTCACAAATGGCATACAAGTAGGAGAATAGACTTTTGACATCACATGTGGTAGCAAACAAAAACATATAGTAAGCTGTCTATCCAGCTAGAATGAGCTGGGAGCACTATCGTATCTCATCTTTTGTACAATCTGGAAATCCAAAGAACAGAAGAATGTACTAGTATTTAATCATTTAAGCAACATTTTGTATACTACATCCCAATGTGAACTGGAGTAGCACCAGGAATATTACAAAAGTTCATGATCCATCCCCACTATAATGAGAAGGATGAAAGTCAAGCACACAAACATGCATATATTAAATAAATGAATATTATTCGATCGAGTATAAAATTCCTACCAAAAAATTCTCACCTTCCGGAATTTTTTAGTTTCTTTAAGGGGGAAAAAAAGACTTCAGAATTTAGATAGTTTCACACTCACACCCTATACATTCCCTTTGTAGCTGTAAAAATTGATTACAACAGCTCACATACCAAAAGAATGAATACGGTTACCTGATTGGCATATGTTCGCTGAAATGGGCTTTTTTCTGCATTCAGCTGAAATGGGGAAAAATCAAAACATCATTCAGGGAAAGGAATTATTGTGATAATGCTAGCAACTTGATGCATCTCTATTCTAATCAAGGAAAGAAATTATCAAATAGATGAATGAAAAAGAGTTTAATGGGTACTGAAGAAATGCACCTGCAAAAATACACAAACGAGGGTGATGCTAAATTGCTAATTATTATTTACTTTCTAGGTATATATGGACATTAAAGTAAGACACAGAACGGTCATCCTCTTCCATATTTATATTTCCTTTTCTACTATCCCTTTCCGCTCTTTAGGCTTTATATCTTCCTTATATTCAGTAATGAAAATATCTAGCCTATATTCTCGAGAAACCACTTGCATATCTAAGCAATACCTCACCCCATTCACAAACTATCCCTTATGCTTTACTAATCTGTATTACTCATGAGGTTCTAATAACAAGTCCCGTGTCACATAATGCAGAAATCTCCATCATTGGCCTTCACTAGCATGTCAATAGATTCAAAATCAAAACAACACTGCAACTTCACATTAATTATAAATTCCATTAGATTTCATACTTTCTAATCCAGACTTAAAAAATCTTTTGCTAAAGCTATTCAGTCATAACACCAGGTTAATATCTTACAAGAGCAATTACCTCAAACAGTAGTAAGCTAATCAGCAAGCCATCCAATTAAAACCTCGTAAACTGAGAACATTGAAGCTTCGCTAACCCTCTAAATATATAAATCTCAGATTCAAAATTTCTAAATAATCAAGTAAACCGCAACCGCAGCCCCAGCGACATATACAAACAAAATCCGCAACTAACATCGATTCTACAACTCCATAAAATCAATCAAAAGATCTCTACATATACATTAGAGGAGAATTCGTTACGTCTTTGAATTGGATTAGGCCGAGGTCACCGAGGTAGGAGATGGTGAGATGAGCGGACTCGATGGGGATGATGAGCTGGACAAGGTGCATCGGCTCGGACCGCATCAGATCCATCGGCGGACAGCATCCTCCTCTAACCCGCTCTCCCATTTTGCACCCTTCGATTTGATTACCCTATTAACTCTCTCTTTCTCTCTCTATAAGCAGAAGTGTCTGAATACTTCGAGAAATAATGAATTACAGTGGTAATAATAGAGACAGAGATAATCAGCACATAATTGTGAGACAGAGATAAGAGAGCCGTGACGGCCTTTTATTTATCTCTGATCTAACACGTCATTCACGTTCTTGTTCTCGTGATTATTGCTTTTATAACCTTTAATCTTTTTAATTTTACATTTAGGTCCTTGATTTTTATTTTTATTTTTCCTCTCTTAAACATGAGGGGAGAAAGCATCAGATTCTAAATTTTTTATTTTAATTTTTATCCCCTTACATACTGATTTCGTCCATAAGGGTGTCAAAAAATGTCAAACCATCTATGACCTACATAAAAAGAACGCATACTAGGGTGGTGGTCCATAAGCTAATCCTAAAATTTTGAGAAAAAGAAATATATATATTATGTAGTCTGAAGTTTTTGATAATCTTTGACCAACATCTATCGAAAAACAATAGGTAATAAAGCATGGCCAGCAAAGAGGGATAAAGGATATCTGTAAGTGGGCTCGATACGAGCACGATCCCAAATGGAGAGATGAGAAGATCTTGATCTAAAGCTCCACTATTCATAATGGGCCTTTTTATTATTATGTCATTTACATTCTTAGATTTGAAATTCTTGCTAGTCTTTAGTGCCCAACTCCTTATAATGTCTTTTGGAATTTAAGTGCTATTATTAGATTGGACATGATCTTTATGGATGATCTGATAATAAAATAAACGATTATTATGGATGATCTGATAATAAAATAAACGATTATTGCCTTTTGATGAAAATGATCTCTTTAAAAAGTTATTTTGTGTCATATATTAAAGTGTTTGTTTGGTACATATTTTAAGCAAATTAAAATTAATTTTTTGATCATTATTTCACTATTTCAGCAGTTATTTTTAAATTCTTCTCTCATAGATAGGACCCAATTTATTTCTAACGGTCAAAAAATCAATTATCAAAATTCCTACTAAACAAGCACAGTCTATAGAATGTTCAAAAAATTAACGTATTCAATTCAATACTTTGTTATATATAGAGCAAGACGGGCAAGCATGCATGCAGCAACTTGCATTAGCAATTTTTCAAATTTTATTTTTGATAAAAAATTTATAATTTTCCTTATATAAAAAAAAAAAAAAAAAAAATATATATATATATATACTGAGCCATGCGACTTCAAAAAGTTGCATCATTGGTCATTAATCTGTCGCTCTATTAATAGATCATTCGCCACCTTCTAAATTTCCTTATATATATAACAAAAACAAAAACAAAAACAAAAATTTATAAATATGGCACGAACTAGCCATGTCGTTCTAGGGACCTGTTCGGCCCGAGAAAGGCCCAATACGTATTGTCAGACAAACTGGGCCATGCGACTTCAAAAGGTTGCATCATTGTTCCTTAATCTGTCGCTCTATTAGCGCAGATCATTTGCCAACTTCCAAAAATGAGCAAGTTTTATCATTAAATTTTTGTTATAATTGTACAACTATTACTCGATGATGAAACCATCCAAATGATCGTTATGTTAACATGTGACACGATAAGCCTCCAAGTTGAGTAACAATATGTTTATTCATAAAGTTGAAAATTCTTTTATTTATACTGTCGAGTATGGATTAAAAACACCAAGATTACTTAGCTTTAAACAGAGTTGCATCTGCATTACTCACCTTACAACTCGGTATAATTAGGTTAATTTCCATGTAAATATGATCATTCTGTTCAATGGTGTCAATTTTGCTAAATGTCACATGCTGGCCCTTATGGTTAAACCAATCAATATCTACATGTAAAAACGTACTTTAAGATATATATTTTTTAAACACAGTTTTTTAAGATGAGCGGTGTGAACTATTGCGTAATATTAACATACAAGTCGTTATTGGTTAGTCATAACGTCCAAATCAACAAATTACGTTAGTTTTTTAGGTCGATGGGATAGTAGATATAATGATCAGAAATGCAAGAAAGTCTATGTTGGGTGTCTTGGTTGTAACAAATTAAATACGAGTGATCAAATTTATGAGCAAATTGAAATTAACTGGTCTACTTGTAAACAAATTGAAGATGACTCTATCGAAAATGGATTATGTAACTATAATGAAATGTCGAGGGACTAAATCCTTTTAAAAAAATGTGGATCTACAAACTAGTGAACAATAAATTCAAGACTAAATATGTAGCTTTCACCTAGAGTTTTTATAGAGCTTTATTAGACAAAACTCAAAAGTATTAATTATTAAAAAGAATTAAAACTAAATACTTAACAGATTAAGTACTCTTAATTTTCTTCAGCAGACTCGATTATAAAAAATCTATTCAAAATTATTGCAAAATTAGTAATAATTATACGTAATATATATAGCTCTTTCTCTATTTCGTGAGGATTTCATTAATCTTAATCACTAGAAACCTTAGAAAATATAAAAGCACATTACACCATGCTGTCTAAAGGACTGTTAATCAAAATAAACATCTCAGTGATTCTAATAATAATAACAACTTTTTCTATTTTGAAGGACATTCCATATGGAAAAAGTTCGTATATAATTTACTTTTCAGACGAGGAACAGGAGAATTACAATGCTGAGGGTGAGAAGCAAATTACTTGGCCCAATTCTTTTCAGGCAAAGAAAATAACAAACAGGAAAAAATCAGAATAAAGACTATTTTCAAGATTGAAGACAACGTAGTACAAATAGTGACATACTATTAGCAAACCTTCGGAGAGAATTAAGAAAAAGTAATGGAAAAAACCTGGTGATTAAATTAGTGACAGATTCTAGAATATAAACTACTCAAATCGAGCCATAAACAATATAGATAATCAAATATTCGACAACAATTAAGAAAAAATACAAAGAAAGTCCCGATGATGGAATTGTGACAAATTCTAATACAAACTTATCAATCAAGACAAAATATAATAAATCCAACAAGCATACAGTTTCCAAGCTAAAAATGAACCGAAATTGCTGAAGACGGCATCTACTTAACTCATCTTTTTTAATCAAAGTTAAAATTAGTGCACAATTTTTATAACAACTTATGTCGAACTTGAAGTTCGGTTTCTGCTATCATCATCGCTTCAGATAGAAGAAGAAGGTGCAATGTATTCATTAAATATTAAATCTAAAAAGACTACAAAGTAAAAGGGAAAAATATAAAAACCCAAACGGAATAAAGACTTTACTGACTTCAGAAGTAATTACATTAATAACTGAAAGGTGTTTGGCCAAGCTTAAAAAGTACAAGGAAATTTGTAAATAATAATTTTTTTAACTAAATACTGTTCTAGGGTCAAAATTAGAAACAAATATATATCTGATTAGGAAAATTTACTTTCAAAGTAGGAAAAAGATAACATATATATGGTACATGTTAGAAGCTATTACAAGTAACTTTTAGTTATTTGAAAGCTTAACCAAACTAGCCTTAAGGATTATTATGGCTGAAGATATGCACAAAAATCGTACAAGGGGTACTCATTCTCTGTGTAAAGCTACAAACTGAAACCTTTAAAAAGCATTCTATAATGATCTCCTCAGTGACTCCAAAGATCAGCAATAAAAAAAAACCTAACATGCATGCTTACTACAAGAATAATTCTTTTGCAGAAAGCCCTTCACGCCTGGCCCCTTAGGTTATGCAAATATAGATTATAATCTGTTTACTCATAAAGCTATACCATTGCTCCCTGTCAAGTTACTTTTGCCAAAACAAAAATGGATGGATCCATTCCCTCAAAAGTTACATTGTTACTCCTTCCATAAAAAGAGTTCTTTTAACTTGACAAAACTGGAAAGTAATTGAGAATTTCTTGAGGTTTTTTGTTCCAG